CATGAGTGAGATTGGTCTATAATTCTCTTTCTTAGTAATGTCTTTCTGTGGTTTGGGTATCAGGGCTATTGTAGCCTCATAAAAAGAGTTTGGCAATGTTCCTTCTGTTTCTATTGTGTGGAATAATTTGAAGAGTATTGGTATTAGTTCTTCTTTGAAAATCATGTAGAATTCTGAGCTGAGGCCTTCTGGTCCTAGGCTTTTTTTTGGTTGGGAGACTTTTGATGACTGTTTCTATTTCTTCAACAGTTATAAGTCTATTTAATTTGCTTATCTGGTCTTGATTTAGTTTTGGTAAGTGAGATTTATCCAGAAAGTTGTCCATTTCCTTTAAGTGTTCCGATTTTGTGGAGTACAGGTTTTTGAAATATGACCTGATGATTCTCTGTATTTCCTTCGTGTCTGTTGTTATGTCCCCCTTTTCGTTTCTGATTTTGTTAATTTGGATATTCTTTCTCTGCCTTTGGGTTAGTTTGGATAAACCTTTGTCTGTTTTGTTGATTTTCTAGAAGAACCAACTCCTCAAGACCCAGTAACACCACTTTTGAGTATATATCCAAAGGATGCTCAATTGTACCATGAGGACATGCTCTACTATGTTCTTAGCAGCACTGTTTGTCATAGCCAGAACCTGGAAACAACCTAAATGCCCCTCGATCGAAGAATGAATAAAAAAAAATGTGGTACATTTACACAATAGAGTATACACAGCAAGAAAAAATAACGACATCTTAAAATTTGCAGGAAAATGGATGGAGCTAGAAAACATCATTTTGAGTGAGCTAACCCAGACACAGAAAGACAATTATCACATGTACTCACTCATAAATGGTTTTTAAACATAAAGCAAAGAAAACCAGCCTACAAATCACAATCCCAGAGAACTTAGACAACAATGAGAACACTAAGAGAGACATACATAGATCTAATCTACATGGGAAGTAGAAAAAGACAAGATCTCCTGAGTAAATTGGGAGCATGGGGAGGGTTGAAGGGGAGGGGAGAGGTAGGGAGGGAGCAGAGAAAAATGTAGAGCTCAATAAAAATCAATAAAGAAAATTTGATACCTTTCCAGTGTTCTACCATTAACTTAGCTCATTTTACTTATGTGTTAGAACTAATGCAACTTCTAAAATCTTGAAAATTTCTGCTTCAAACAGCTTTGGTAAATATCTAGCTAAAGCTTTAGTGTTCTCATATTGTTAAGTAAATAATATTTTAGTAAAAGTAGTTTTTTATAGGTTGATTTAAAAAAGAAATGTCTATCTCCTCCTGAGTTGTGACAAATATGTACATTTTTATCATAACTGTGTGGCAATAGAGAGCAAATATATCTGTAGAACCAGAATGCAAAGATGTGAAGTCTGACAGCCCACTTTTCAGTAGTACCACTTCATGGGGACGTATCCAAACTTTACATAAATAGGAAATATTTGTAACCATGTGATATGGTTGATGTTGTAGAATCTCCTAGGACACAAACCTGTAGGCGTGTCTGGAAGTTTTTAGTTTGGAATGATACAAGTGGGGGAACCCCACTTTAAATGTGGTTGGGACCATCCCTTGGGCTGCAGTTCTGTATGGAATGAGAAGCAGAAAGCAAGCTCAGTCCCATGTTAAGCTGAGCACCGTGATTACATCTCTCTGTTTTCTGGGTGCTGATGTAATGTGACCACTGCCTCATGAATCTGTAGCCATGCCTTCTGCACTATGGTGATCTGACCCTCAAACTCTGGCCAAAATAATCCTTCCCGCCTTACATCCCTTTTGTCGGGGGTTTTGTGACAGAAACAAGGAATACATATGCTGTGTCTGGGAGACACTGAGACTAGGTTGATACTTGAAGTAGTAGTGACTACCAGCAATCACCCCAGTGTGGGAATTTCTGAAATATTCAAGTGCATTATCTACCAATCTCCTCCAAACCTATTCAATATTAATGAGAATAAATTTGACAATTAATGAAGATATATATTACAATTCAGAGATATCGAATTAAACATTCACTGCTTCAGTATTACAGCTTTCACTTAGTACTCTGAGCCCATGGTTTGTTTGTTTCCTCTCCGGTCTCAGATGTTTGTATTGGCTCTAGAAATCTTCACCGGTCCTGAGCGCTGCTCCTGTGAACATTGGTGGATACAACGGTCTTGGCCAAAGTAAATAGGACCATTCTGACCCTAATCTTTCTGGCTTCGGTCCCCATGCCCATCTTAGCCTGTTTCCTGGAGAACATTTTCTTTTCCCAGCAAGAGTCTGGAAAGGTGACTAGCCGTTTTAGAAAGAGCCAAGCAGCAATTCAGACATAGAGTGAGGCAAAACCCCAGGCGCTGTCAGGGAGCCAACATTCTTAAACCACTTTTGGCTAAGTTCAGAGTTTATACCAAAACCTGTGCCAAGATTGACCCTGCAATTGGGCACAAAGAGGAGAAATAGTGACTTAGTAGCTGATTATAACTGACGTTAACTTTCATCAACTCCCTCAGAGAGATAGGATCGCTCCTCCAGACGTATAAGTATTAGGTGGCACAGCACTTTGATTCCAATGTTCAGACGTATATGTTCCAAGAATAAAACTTTTATCTCAATGCATTATAGGGACAAAATATTATTTAGTATTCTGAAAGATGGGTTTCCAAGACTGCTCTTGCCCTCAGAGGCAATAGTTCTCCAAGTGTGGCAAATGATGATCCTTGAGAGCAGAGATGTGTTAAGGTAACGCTAAGGCATCACCTGCCTTCGTGATGCACACTGCAAACGCCGTGGGGGATCCAGCTGGTTGTCCCTCAGGACGTACCAAGGCTGTAAAATCAGAAAGGACCAAGAATGAATGCATACTGTAGCACAACCCAAGTAAGGGGGGGGAGGGGACGGGGGACAATTTCACTCACACACACAAAAAAAACTTTTGATGAAGCAGTCATGGTTTTTTTTTTTTTTAAAAAAAAAAAGCTTTTTGAATTTCAACCCTTTATATTGTACACAGTGTGGAAGTAAAGAAGATGATGTGTTCTGCTGCTTCCCAAAGTCTGATGGTTGTCTAGAGAAAATTCTGCGTTCAGACCAAACTAGCCTCTTGTCTCAGGAAATGCCATTTATCTGAGCATATGACTGGCAACAAATTACGGTATCTATAGTCTGGGGCATTTGGTAATCCATGTTTACTAAAAATGAATATAAGAAACCTATTGGTTCAAAGAAAAAAGCAAACTTGATAAGTTCTAAGCTTTTAAGCTAAAGTTATAACTTAGGAAGATTTGCATTTACAACCATATTTCACAATCCTAAAGGGCTGTCCTAGAGAAACTAGTGCCATTAGTGACTGTGGCGCATGTGTGTGTGTGAGTGCGCACATGTGTGTGGTGTACAAGACAGAGAAACATGCACACAAACAGAAGCAAGAGGAAGCCACTGAGTATCTCCTCCATCCTCTCTAACTCTCGGCTTATTCCCTTGAGGCAGGGTCTCTTCTCTCACTGTTGTGAAAATTCCGTGTTTTGGCTGGCTGGCTCCAAGCTCTCAGGATCCACCTGTCTCTGTTCCCTCCACCTGGAGTTACCACAGGATTATTTCTGGCTTTTTCACATGGGTGCTGGGGAATCGAACCATGCTGAGTGCGTGGGGGAAACTATTCCTACAGTTGACCTCAGGGCTTGCACAGAAAGCATGCCTATCCACCAAGCCATCTACCTAGCCCCATGACATTTTGCTATCATATAATAAAAAGAAATCATTACTTATAAGATCTGCATAATTCAATTAACCACTCTTCCCATGACCAATGCTGGCTATCAGATACCCATTCAAGACCAAAGATGAGCCAATGAATTTTAATGTAGTAAGATTATGAAATTCATTGATGTGGTTTAAGATTACACATAGTGAACAACTTCTAAAACAGTTACCATTTGTCAAGTTTTAGTGGTAGAAGCAAGAATAATGTTGCCAATTATCTATGAAAGACTGTTATAATTTTCAAACATCAGATCCCTACAGAGCCACCCTTCCTTCCTACATTTCAACCAAAACAGCGCCTCACAAAAGTAGAAACATATATAAGAATTTAAGTTTCTCCTGTTAATCTTGGAATTTAATTTAATTACTTTGCTTTGGTTTGTTTAATCCTGGCTGTCCTGCAACATGATATGTAGATTGTAGACTTGCCACAAACTTACAGAGATCCCTTCCATCTCTGCCTCTTAAGTGTACGCCACCATGTTTGGCCTAATCTAGGTATTTTAAACACAACACATATGTAAATCAATAAGTCATTTTTTAATATTTTTTCTGAAGAAATTAGATTTATGGATAAGGAGATAGGACGGTTGTTCGGAATTCACAGAGGCCTGAATTCCCAGGACCACATAAATTAGGTAGATGTCACCAGTGTGACGTGGTAGGTGGTGGCAGGAAGATCAGAAGTATAAGTTATGTAGTATAAGACCAGATTGGGAGAGGTGAAACCCTGTCTTAAAAAGAAAAAAAAAGTATTTTCCATAAAATATATGTAATTTATGTCACATGTAATGAGTTTTTTATTTAAACTAAGAAAGATCTTAAGACTTCCTTTGTTGATCTATAATATGAAATACAAATAAGTGTAACTCACATAAACAAAACCTCTGTAGTCCTCTATCATTTTTACAAGTGAAAAATACCCATCCTGTGACAAAAATGTTGACACCCGCTGGGCTGCACATGTCTGTGTTCTAGGCCAGCAGCCATTGTGACATCAGCATCAGATGAGGGCCACAGGAAGGCTCACATGCCATGGACTGTTAGTTCAGTTAGGCTGCCTTGGAAGAGGCAGCCCACCCAACCCTGCCTGTTGCTGCCTTTGCTGTTCTCCATGGATATTCAATGATGTGACCAGGAAAGATCACCGACAAATAGGAAGAAAAAGGCCATCCCACGCCAAAAAAGCAAAATCATTTCTTCTTTTGATTCCTGCCATGCTTCCCATCGCTTTGTGTCTTGTATCTCAGTGAAAAAAAAAAAATATGTACCGACTTCACACCCAAAGAGTAGAAGCTGCTGCTGGACGTGTGTGGACTCACAGTCTCCGTAAGATTCGGCGCTCTCTTAAAAGTGCTTACCAGAAATGTAAAAGCCAGCACTCAACCAGCCGCCCAACAACAGCTCCTTATGACTGTGACCAAGATGCTCTCGGTTTGAATGAAGAAATGAATCTAACAGCAATGCTCCAAGACATTAAAAAAGGACAAATGGAACTCCTCAGTCAAATGACCGACATTGTTAGTGCAATATCAAGTATCCAGGAAAAGATTGACCATTATCAGAAGCAGATGGAAGCCCTAGAAACCAGAATAAGCATCAGTGAAGACAGACAAGTCGCAGCCACCAAAGACATCGTCTCCATGAGAGAAGACATCGACTCTCTGAAGAAGAAGGTGATGGAGCTGGAAAGCCAGAATTCTTACTCTAGCATCCGCTGCCTAGAGGTTCTCGAGGGACAAAAGGGTAAAGAAATTGTGCAGCTGTTCCATAAGCTCCTACAACCAGAAACCTCAAAGGACCTAGACACCGAAATCTCTTCTGCAGAATCAGGGAGGGTGTCCAGTTATCCAGAGCCCACCAGCCAGATTAGGGAAAAAACAATGTCTCCTCAAATTGAAACTCCGAAGAAAAATAACAGCCTCCAGACTGCAGCCATGAGTTGTAAAAAGGTAAGGTCAAATATTTATATTTACCCTGACTTCAGTACATGGATCAAGCTCACTTTTGTTCACGGAGGAAAATGGAGGTTTTTCCTCAGTGCCACCAAGTTAGAGGAATTCGTGCAGTGGCTTCTCTCTAGGCCAACCATCCTTCCTGAGGAACCACAAATCATATCCCGGAGAGACTGTGCCTTCACTGGAGCCATTGAGAACTTGGCCATAATCTGTCTCTCTCTCTTCAACTATATTTACTGCCTTTTTGGTTCCTCGAAACAGGAAATAACTCGTCTTTAGAGTTGTTTTCTGCTTGGCTTGGTACAAAATAAATGTAGCCCATTTGCTTCCAATGGTCGTGTGCGTTTGTGCTGTCTGTGGAGGCCAGCTTGCTGGCTGTGTGTGTGCGCATTATCATAAAGTTCCTGCACAACCACCGTTAAATTCCTTCAGCTCATTGGCCTATTGCGATCCACTTCCCGCCAATGTTCTTGTCCTCTCCAGAGCACTTCCCGAGGACTCATCTTGTGTCTGCTTTCATAAATACTTAGAAGCAACAGTGGAAGGGTCGGAGAAAATGTGTAAGACGTCAGTATCAGTGACTTTGGCTCATAAAATGTGTGACATAAGACAAAATCTAAACAACATTAAGAAAAAATAAGCCCATTGTCAAAACCATGAAAGCTAAGACTATATTGAAGCTGGAGAAATGGCTCAGACATGAAAAACACTTGCTTTTCTTACAGGAGGACCTGGGATTGGCTCCCAACACACATGGCAGGCTGCCCACAACCACTTGTAACTCCAGTTCCAAGAGATCTGATGCCTACTTCTGGCCTCTGTGAGCATCTGCATGTATACATACATACATTATACACATTACACACATAAACTCAGGGGCACATATACACATTTATAAAATTGTTATAGAAATGAAAGGGTAAGTTATTGCAAGGAAAATATTAATTACAATGGGATTGTGTTCTTTCTACTTCAGTTTCATCTCTATTTGTCAGTTAGATATGAGAGGAAAGGCTAAATGCAGTTCAGCATTTCATTTTACATTTTCTTGAAAGAAGACAAATATTATGTCCTGCCCATTTGCTACAGAGGAAAAGGTCAAAACCGAAGCTATTATCTGTGAACTAAGTTCTAAATCTTTTACTTTGAAGATTTATGACTTAATTGTAATTAGGTTTGCTCTGCCTTTGGTAAATAGGGAATTATATTAATCTGGTAGAATTCTTTTCCCTGAAACAAGAGAGCATGGAGTGTAAGAGAGAAAGCAAAAGACATTCTCTTCCCTTTATACACACAGCACTAAGCAGAATGGATAAAGGATGGACACAAGCAACCTTAAGGCATGGCAGATGGGAAGGGGCAGCTGAGAACAGTGGGAAAAGCACTCCCAGTATCAGAAGAAAGGGAGCGCTGAGGAGGCGTGTCCTAAGGTAGGGAGGAGAAGGCAATAGAGCAGACGGAAGGACAAACAGATACAAGCACAGGAGTGAGACTGAGGGGGAGTATGGGAAATAAAAGCCAGCAAGTGCTGTGTATGTACAATGTCCAGACAGGCTTTCAACCCTTTCGTGGACCTCAGTTTCCCTTCAGCGATTCTCTCTCACAATGCTTACTTTAACCCGTGTTTTACCTGCACACAAATGCAGGATGTAATGGTACAATTTTGTCACCATAGCATTGAGGAAGCTGAGGCAGGAGGACCACAAGCTTATTCAATGAACGCCTAGATGAAATAGGTCTTCCTACGGAGAAAGGAAGAAGAGAATAGACAGTATCAAGGTGACTGCATGTTTTTCTCATGGCTTTAAGAGATGATTCTGTTCATCCTGGAGAATTAAGTTCCCTCTGAGGCGGTGTTTCTCAACCTGTGTGTCGTGACCCCTTGGCGGGGGAGGGGGATCATATAGCAGATATCCTACATATCAGATATTTACATTATGATTCATACCAGTAGCAAAATTACAGTATGAAGTAGCAATGGAATCATTTTATGCTTGGGGGTTGCCACAACCTGAGGAACTGAATTAAAAGGTCACAACATTAGGAAAGTTGAGAACCACTGCTCAAAGGAAGAGGGAGATCTTGCCTTCTGACAGGATCTCATGGGCCTTTGCTAAGATTATAACGAAGCTCATAAGTGCATGTGAGTAATAATCTGCTCTTCAGGTCTGAACTCACACTCCCCCCTCACTTGCACACTTCCCTTCTTCGGAGCTCAGAGAAAAGGTTGATCCCATTTCTATTCCTCCTCCAGCGGCTTAATCAGTTACTCTTTCTTCTATTTTCTTACTTTGATTTTGTTGCGTGTGTAGGTGTGTACGTGCCAAGGAGTATGTATGGCACATGTTTGGCCAGAGGACAGCTGTGAGAACTCCTTCTCTAATTCTATCATTTGGGCTCAGGTCATTGAACTGGGAGGCAAGTGCCTTTCTCTGATTAACTTTCTTGCTGGCCCTACTCTGTCTAGTCAGTTTGCCATCAGTTTGGGGTTTTTTAGCCAACTTACGATAATATTCCCCCAGTTGCTGCCTCTGAGTTCCTCTCTTCCTTTGCTGTTCTCTGCTGTTCTCTTCTTCATGAACGGGAGGCCCAGACTCTTCTTGTTTCGAACTCGCCCTCTTGCTCCCACAGGTTATGCTTCCCAATACGGTTCTCTTTGACTTCTTTCCACTGCTCTTGGTTTCCTTAGTCGATTTCTCCAGGCGCAAACATTCCTCTAAAATATGGACAAGCACAGCTTAAATTAACCAGTGGATTCCGCATCCGTGATCCAGATTCTCTTAAGACCTCCTAAACTCTTGACTGAAGTGACCACATATCGTTTTTGAGTAGCTATGAAAAAAGATATCTATAAATAATAGACAAATATATATATGCTTATAAATACATATACTCAGATATGAAACCCACTGTGCTTTCACCAAAACATCTCAGACCCTTGTTGCTGGAAATTAAGCACATTTCTTGGGGATGCAGTCCGTGCTAGGGTAAAGAATGATCAATCTGAGAGAACAGGCTTTAGAACAGGTGCTCACTGAATGGATAAGTGGGACTGACCTCTGTGCCCACAGTTGTGTGTATGGTGGCGACGCTGGTGGCTATATGATTATGGCAATTTCCTTTAAGCCTGGCGTTCTTCAGTTTTCTCAGTTCTAAATTAAGAGCAATTTATGTCTTGAGATTGCTGCATTAATTGAGTAGGATCACATGTTCTGTGTGCCCATAAGCGCCTGAGTTAGCAGATATTCAGTAAAGGGTAGTCATTTCCTTCCCTCTTTAGCTAGATGGAAGGGTGTTAACAGGGGCATGAAGATGAACGGGTCAGGGACCTCTCCTCAAAGAGCTTCCTTCAGGACACTGCCTCCTTTTTTCAGCCATGAAAGACTCAAGACAAATAACAAACACAGTGCCAGGCTAAATACAAAAGCGTCAAACCAAGTCTCGACTCCCTTATCCGAAGATAGGGTGATAAGAATAAGACAGGGTGTGAATCTCCCCTCCTGCTCTGGGCACCCAACCAATATTCCATCATCTGCAATAGTCGGTCGCCAACCTTTAATTGCACTCTATATAAATAAGCAACAAAGCAATGGACTTGGAAGGAAGAAAGAAGACTGAGTTTAATATAAATAATTTAGCTCAGTTAGGACTATTCGCTTCAATGAGCGTATTCACCAAGAGCACTCTGGTTATTTAAAACAAGATGCATCAACTTTTATTGAAATCTGACACTGCCAGGAGCCAGCAGAGCTAGGTGTGAAAAGACAGAGATAAGCCAGCAGCCTTGCTCTGAAGAAACACATTTTCAAATGGTGGTTGTTTTTGTTGTTGTCGTTTTTGGTTTTGTTTTGTTTTTTTTTTTTTTTTGCTACCTTCCAGTTATGTTGACCTGATACTTAGATCTTGACTGAAAACAATTCACTAACGTCATACAAAATTTGATTTTTTTTTTCATGGAACACAACTTGAGTTCCTGTTAGGGGGGAAAAAACATGGTTATTCCTCAAAACAGTAGCTTAAACTTCTTCAATACTATTTTATGTTTCTCCAGAAATGCAAATGATGGCTAACATAGTAATGGCTTATGCTCTGAAACACCAGTTGTAACATTTACAACTCAGAAAGTACATCATGAATATATGACATTAGTTGGACTTCTGCTATTTTATAAAACTAACAGTTAAAGTGCTTGTGATAATCTTAACGAAACCGCAAAAACAAGCCTCCATTGTATCTCCATGCCCATGCAACTAGAGGAGCGGCAGGCGGACAGCTGTGTGGAGACTCCCCCTCTTGTACAGTAAGTACATCCCATGGTGGAATAAAAAGTCTACAGGCTGCAGACACTAGTAGATGACTTGGGAGTTAGGGAACAAATGACAAGAAGTAAGTTTGAGCTAAGGCAGGAACTCTAGAATTACAAATCTGAAGTGGGGGAACTCTTGGGCTGGGAGGGGGACAAGGCTTCCTTTGGCTACTGAGTGACTGGAGACTAAGGGCTGAAGTGGGGCCACATGCCGCATGCTGTTAAAAGACCAAGGTCTTGAGACACTGTGGATGATGGTGAGGTACACCTGTATCCCCAGCACTCCAGAAGCAGAGGTAAGAGGACCAGAGGTTCCAGGCAGTCCTTAGACAGATAGCAAGTTGAAGGCCAGCTTTAGCTACATGAGACCCTATCTCAAAAAGGCCAAAATACAAATTTAAAAAGTCTGAAAAATGAGAGAGTATTTACATAAAACACATAATATAGGGTATGTGGTGTGTGGTGTGTGTGTGTGTGTGCGAGCGTGCGTGCATGCAGTGTGTATGTATGTTGTATATTGTGTGGTGTGTATGTATGTGTGTTGTGTGTATGTGTGTGGTGTATGTGGTGTGTATGTGTGTGTATATGGTGTGTGTGTGGTATATGTGTGTGTGGTGTGTATGTGTGTGTATATGGTGTGTGTGTGTGTGTGGTATATGTGTGTGTGGTATGTATGTGTGTGTATGTGGTGTGGTGTGTATGTGTGTGTGTGTGTAGTGTGTGTGTTTGTATGCGTGTGTGTGAAGTGTGCATATCTGTGCATGGGCCTGTAGAAGCCAGCGGGCAGTATTATTATTTCTCAGGAGCTGTCTACCTTGTTTTCAGACAGGGTCTCTCACCAGCTTACAAGTGGGCTAGGTTGCCCGACCTGTGATCTTCGGGGATCTGCCTACCTGTCTCCATCTTCCCAGGGCTGCGATTCCAAGCATTGGCCACCATCCTAGGTTCTGTTTTGTCATTATTTTGGCTTTTT